TAAAAACGATTGCTAAATGTAGCCGTACACATTGACGTAACCATCGTCAACAAGGCAGCGTCTACTTTGATGTGTGACCTTGCATTGGGCTGCGGTCTAATAACGCATAGCATGGCAAATCGTCGAGTGATGATACCATTCTTCTTGCTGCTTCATTGCGGAACTGTTCACAGCCGCTGCAGTGATTGCACAAGGGATACCAGCCATAGGTGTCTTTGCTCTGATGGTAGGCTTATCGTAACCTGTCGCAACTGCGCGAAAGTGCTCCGACGAAACTGGAAAACGTATCGTATTAATGGTATCGAGGAGATCAAGGAGATCTGAGATCCCTCAGCACATGACAGGGATTACTACCGCTGCTTTGAATGGCAACACCCGAGAGTGTCAAGGACGCTTGGAAACAAGTTTTGAGCAATTCTGCCGACTTTACGACAAAACAGCTGCTTGGAATCTTCATGGACTCCAAGAAAGAATATGGTCATGTGGAGTGGAGTGCAGCGCTCTGCCGCCGTTTGAACTGAAGATGCCGTGACAGGAGCGCAAGTATTGTCAAGAGGTATGAACATGCTTCTGTAGCGGTAGGATGAGGTTGCCTATCAATGGTCCTTTCATACTTCAAGCACAATCTGTATTCTGCGCGTATCTAGCCGACTTGCTAACAGTTTGGATAGTGGCACTTTAGTTTCTTGCTGGAGCTCCCCCCGTGTGGTGATTACGAAGTAGTCAACCATATGCAAACGCAAGCCTGACGATCGACTGGAGGATTCGTTAACAAGAAGCACATGATCGCTAAACGCATTTCTGCATGGGGGACCTCTGAGCGAGTCGCCCCTATGCGGGGCGAACTGTAAATACTGATTGCACATACTATGTGTACATCCTTTATCCGCAGATTTCCGGAGAAATACCTACGACATCTGGAATGTTTCGGCGATATCGGAAATATCCGAGAGCATCTGGTTGCTTGGTGCTGCGTCTTCATTTTCTGGAGATTGAGGTGTGTGAGCTGGCCGTCCCCAGCTGAAAACCTATACTAACTTGCCCGAATTGTTGACAGATCTGAGAATATTACCACAGTGTTTGTGTTACTTGTCGAACGATACAACTTCATGTGATTTCCGCAGCGTTGGCGTCTTAAGCGTTGGAACAAAATTGGAACAAACCAAGTGTAGTACACTCCAATATAGTATAAATTACAATTGCTAATGATTTAAAGTTTTACATACAAATTCTCATTTATCGAACAGTTGACATTTAAAGCATATCTGGACGACCTAAAACAATACATACTCAAATTCAGTATGTTAATTTTATCGAGCCATACAATGGCTATATATCAAATAATAGTAACTGGGACCCAATATGAATTCTTTGAGAACTGCATTCAGAACTAATTTATACAATAATAATTGATGTTTTGAGTTGTCAGCCTTAGACTTGCATCTGTTCATCTAAGTTGTTGTGCCATCTCCTATTCCGGCATCCCCGACCAGACGCTTCTTACATGTTAATACTTACCTTCTGTTAGTTAACGGTAATGCTCGTCAAAAGAAATGGAAAAGCTTGATTGTGTGGCTTTCAATTCTTATGTTTTTCTATTTACAAATTAATCGATTTTCTGTCTCCTTTTTTGATTTTCACAATTAGTTTCAGTTTTGATTCGTGTTTGTATTTGTTGAATGCTGAATATGAATCGTATTTGATTTTTGCATTAATATCAAGTATTTGTAGAAATCATCTTTCATATAGTATAAGTGTGTTTGTGAGTACATGTATTAGTATCTGTATCTACAGATATTTTGTATTTGTATTTGTATTTGTATTTGTATTTGTATTTGTATTTGTATTTGTATTTGTATTTGTATTTGTATTTGTATTTGTGTTTGTATTTGTATTTGTATTTGTATTTGTATGTGTATTTGCATCTGTATCTGTATTTGTATTTGCATTTTCATTTTGCTTATGTATTTATGTTAGTTGCTGCAGTTAGTATTGTTCTTTTATTATTATTATTGAAAACCCTCCATTTATGTATATTTATTATTTTATATATATATATAAAGGAGTATATAGTGCTGGGAGCTGGTGGAAGCTACTAAAAAACTGTGCCATGCTGACTTTACTATATATTGCTGGTCTCAACATGTTCCGTCCGGTGCTCCTTAGCCGTAGTAGTTGGGCGGTTGAGTGGGATAGTCCTTGGAGCCGTTGCTGCTGCCGACGCCGGCGCCACCGCGCGAGGAAGGATTCTCGCTGAAGAGACCACCAAAGTTCTTCGAGTTGAAGATCTCGCTGAGGCCGCTGCCACCGCCACTTCCTTGATTAGCGCCTCCATTGCTGCCGCCACCGCTGAGCAGGCTGCCCAGGAAGCTGCTGGCACCACCACCGCCGGCATTGCCGTTGGCACCGCCACCAGAGAGCACAGAGCCAAGGAGGCCTCCAAGCAGATTACTGCCACTGGATGAGCCGCCGGATGAGCCGCCACCTCCGCTGGTCGAATAGCCACCACTTGGCTGATAGCCGTTTGCACCGCCTCCATTGGCGGCACCGCCGCCGCCGTTGGCACCACCACCTTGTAGCTGCTTGGCTATTTGGCCTGCAATGATACCGGAAACAGCTTGACTCACCGCCGGATTCGAGAAGAAGTTGGAGAAGAAGCCGCCGCCCTGCTTGTCCTTAGGCTTCTGGGCGGCACCACCGCCACCATTGTCATAGCCAGGTGCGGGCGGGGTATAGCCGGGCATCGGTTGATAGCCGCTGCCAGGAGCTGGCTGATAGCCGCCGCTAGGAGCGGGCTGATAGCCGCCCTGTGGTTGGTAGCCACCCTGTGGATTGTAGCCGCCTTGTGGATTGTAGCCATACGGATTGTAGCCAGCAGCACCGCCACCATTGTTATTGTTGTTAGGAAGCGTGGGATAGAGACCATGACCGCCAGCCGAGAAGCCATTACCATATCCACCTGCACCGCCGCCACCGTATCCACCAGCTGCGCCACCCTGGTTGCTATCTGACTCCGGCAGTGGGGCGCTGGGTACGCTTGGCGCGTACGAGTTGTGCGTGTTGCCGCTGTTCACTATTGGCCAAACGTAGCAAAAGCAGCGCAGTAGCAGCGCAGCAGCAGCGCAGTAGGGATAAGCAGTTAAGGTTAGCCACAAAAGCGTTTGAAAAGTAAGTAGAAAATAAGTTAAAAAAAAGAAAAAACAAAAAAAGAGAAACATAAAAAGCATTAGGCATACGAGGCCAAAAACAAGACGTCGAACATGAACTAAAATGAATTTAAGCCCAATCTATGCGAGGGAGTGGGAAAGAAGGATTTCTCAACACTTTTTTTTCTTTCTATTCTATTTGGTTTTTGTTAATCAAATACATTATCATTTTCTATCTTCTTGGTTAACTTAGCCTAGGTAAGTTTCATTAGAGTTGCCCGTGTTACGTTTTGATTAGCGTGTTCTGCATATGGTAACAGTCGATAAAGTTATTGATAAAAAATTTAAATTCTACACATCTGTCAGTTTAATTTGTTTTTGCTTTTGTTTTGGTATGCTTAGTTCTTATAAGTCTTCTCTGCCGTATGGATAAGTATGTTGTTTAAAGTATATATATATATACATATATATATACACATGCGTATATATACTTATGTATTTGCGTTTATATACTTATAAATGCGACTGCTATGTACAACGCCAAATAGAAGTAGATGTAGACTCTCCGCTTCTGCCATTTTACGTAGCTTTTTAAACGAGTTTAGCCGAACACCTTAGATACCCTGCCTTAACTATAGCTAATATATATTGTGAAATATTATTTAATTTTTAATATTTAATTATTCATTGCATGCAATTCAAATAGTTTAATAATTATTTTTGCTTTTTTTCGCCAGGATCAAGCTTAAGTATATTTATCTATATATATATTTATATATATATATATATATATATATAATTTTATATATATGATTCTATATATACATTTTCAACAAATGCTTTAGTTAGTTCTTTAATACTGTTCACATGGTTTTATTTTGTATTTATTAGTAGAGTTCCATACAACTTAATGCCAATGTATGTGTATATGTGTCTGTGTGTATGTGTGAGTGTTTAAATAAATGGGAAATAATAACAAGACTGCGCAAAATGCATGTTCGGACGGAGTAATTATATTTATTCGCACATATACAAATTTCTGGGTTGCTCTATTTGCAGTTGATTTATTTATAAATAAATTCAATTTCACAATAATAATAAAAAAGAGAACATAAATGTAAAATTGTGTAAGGGAAAATTGAATTTGAGACGCAAATTACAAATAAAACAATTAAAACATATTTGTAAGCAAACAATTCTATCAATGATTGACTTTTTTAAATGTTATCAAGTGGTCAACTTCAAAATTGGGAATTGGGGCGTAGGGAAGTGTAAAAGAAATGTTTATATCTCTTAAGCTGTTTTGCTTTTTATGATAATTCCTGTTTATTAACCTTGAAAACATATATATATATACATATATATATATATATATGTATATATATATATATATATATATATATATAGATATATATGTATTTATAGATATATGTGTATTTATGTTTATATGTAATTCTATATCTATCTATATGTCTTGTTCTTTCACTTAGTTTTGATTTAATAAAAGTTAAGTTTTAGACTTACGAACTTTATCTATAGCACTTATCGGTCAGCAATTAAATATTCGTGTTTGCTGCGGGTTTCCATTGTTACTTTTGGCATTTTATCATATTTTTAATATAATTTATTTTTATTTGGTGTTTCTATTTTTGTCCTGGTATAGTTTTTATAAAGTTTGCAAATTTTAGAATTATTTTTGTTTTGATTTTAATTTTCGTTTTTACTTTCATTAAACTTTTATTATATTAAAAAAAAATGTTTTTAAATAACGTTTAATTGTGTACTTTGTGCACAATTTTCTTAGTTTTTTATTTATGTTTTACTAAATTTCTCAATTTCTAGAGCGGATTTTTTTTCCTTTTTTATCATTTTAGTTTGCAACCTTAAATCAGCTTGTTTATATGCATTTTGATTGACACGCGTATCTGTATCTACAACAACTGTGGGAGAAGTGATGAGGGGCGGTAATTTCACTCCGCAAAAACAGCAACTGCAACAGCAACATGAACAACCAAATAAAAGCCGAAAATGCTTGCCACAAAATGTGTAGCAGCAACAAAAATTAAATTAACATCCAACATCAAAGTTGCGAGTGTGTGTGTTTGTGTGTGTGTCTGATGTGCAGCTAAGTCTGCGACTGATGTCCGGCACTCGCTCTAAGCCCGAAATTAAATTCCAATTTAATTGAGCTGCAAAAAACATGGAGAGCGGTGCAACGGGCCTTCAGGGTCATGACTAGAGCAGCGGTTTGTTAGACCACACAAATGGAAACACACAGACACACACACGCATACACATTTAGAAATAACGTATAGGAGCCGGGTTTTGAGAGCATATTAAAACATAAATAGCTCCCAACATATATGGCCTATGCTTCAGCTATATATAATATAAAAATGCACATCTTTAATTCAATCCGGCTATTTAGCTCCTGCTACTGTTGGAGTTTTCCTCTAGAGCGAGCGTGCTCGACTGTCTTGATGATGTAGCTGCTGCAATTGCTGTTGATTCTAACTCAATTGTTTGCCTTAATCTAGCGCCCAAAACCAGTATAATGAAAATAAAAGGAAATTGAAAGAAATTTAAGCAAAAGCTGAGAGGTCTGTTGATTGTTGTCGGGTTGCAGGATCCAGAGCGACTGCTGCTGCATCTTATTACGTGCTGCCGCTGACGTTGCCTCTATGGCCAAGAAGCAACACGAGAACCGCGAATAGGCCGATAAGCGGAACGCTGGAGTTACCACATCGCAACGCTGCCGAAGGATGTGCTTGGGTCTGGCGATTGTAGGGATTCTGTTGGTTCTGGTTCTGGTACTGTGGCGGTGGCTTGTTGTACATATTCGCATTCTGATGGTGTGTCTGATAGCCCTGATAGTTGCTGCCGTAAGGCGCCAGACCGCCGCCGCCTCCTCCGAGGATGCCAATGCTAGAGCTAGGCATGCCGACGCCGGCACCACCGCCACCGGGCGGCCCGCCTGTGCCGGCCGGTCCCGAATAGAACGGCAGCTGGCCAAATACGAATGGTGGATTGTAGGGGTTCACCGGCTGCAGGCCATGCATGGGATAGCCCGGATTGAGCACGCTACCTGGATGGTTTGGTTGGGGAAACTGTTGAAATGATGGCGCTTGCGTTGGCGAATTATATGGGAATATGGGCATATTGGGTATGATGGGCATATGATGCTTAGCTCCGAACACGTAATGCTGATCGATGCCGGTGGCTGAAGCGCCTGCGGCCCCGCTTGAGCCCTCGGCATTCGCAGCGTTCTGGCTGATGGCCTGCCCCCCATTTTGTGTGCCACCCTGACCGCCATTTTGATTGCTGCCCGATGTCTGCTGGTTCCCATTTGAGTGCCCGCCGTTCTGGTTGATATTGTTGTTATTGTGATTGCTGTGACTAAAGTATGTGTAGGTGTTAAGAGTGGGATTCGATGAGGCCGGCGCAAATATGTTATTCTCAGGGCCCGTATTCAGGCTGGATCCTGTTAGTAAAGCCATTGATTGATTGCCATTGCCATGATGTGCGCGAGTAGTGTAAGAGAATGAGAGAGATATACAAATGTAAGACAATTGTTTAGTCAGCGATAAACGAACCGCCAGCTTCAGCTGCTGCATGCGAGTGAGCAAGCCAACGCTATCTCACGAACTCAATCTCAACAACTGAGGACAGTGCGTGTTCTATGTGTGAGAGCGAGATCAAGCGAGTAAGCGATAGCTGTGCATGTTTATGTGAAGTGTTATGCACCAGTCAAAAGCTTAGTGCTATAAAATGAGGCAATGAATGAACGGGTGAAAGTGCAACTTGAATGAAGCGAAAGTTCAAATACCGTTATGTTTTAGTTCATTTTGTTTGTTTTATGGTATATAAAGGCAGCGCGTTGCATTTGTGTTTGCATGAGAGTGTTTGTTCTTGTGCGTGTGTGTGTGTGTGTATTTAGTAAAGCTCATTATTATATTTGTATGTATATATTTAAATACAAAACCATAGAAAATGAAGCAAATGATAAGCCACAATTATTAGTTGACGGCAATAATACTTGAATAACTCTAACTCTAACTGTCTAAAAAGTATGTTTGTCCATTTTGTGTGCGGCGTTGGATCCGCCATCAATTTGATAAAGGCCGCCAAGTTCCCAACCGCCCGAGCCCAAACAAATTTCACAAGAACAAAAAAAAAAACAAACAAATAAAAGGAAAAAAAAGCAAAATAAATACCTGACGGATTAACCGACGACGACGAGGAAGAGGGATTAGCCTGGTTGGTACTGGAGCCGCTCTTGCGCTTACAGGTCGGATAATTGCCGCAGTCCTTGCCATCGCGCTGATTATAGCTGCATGAGTCGCTGGTGATGATGCACTCCTCAGTAGGCAGGCAACCAATGTCAGCACAGCCGCGTCCATACTCTTCAGATACGCAAAAAACCGAGAGCAGAACCGAAGACACAAGCATGGACACAGACGAAGACGGAGACGGATCCGGAATCGAAGTTGGAGTCGGGGACAAATTGGTGTTGATATTGGGGAATAATTGTTGTGTGTTTCGGGTATCGAGTTGGGGGATATTCAAAATAATATAAATTATAATATAAGACGTGGACGCGTAAGTTATGTATTTCGTTGTTTACAATGTTGATCATGGTAACAATGAAGGTGATGATGACGATGTATGCGTGATAATTTGTACATTACGTAGACATTTATACGGGAGAGAGCAAAAGAAATAAAGAGAAAGAGACAGAGAGATAGACACACAGAAAGAAAGAGAGGTAGAGATAGACAGACAGAGAAAGGAAGAGACCAAGGTTCAGCCCGCAGCTTAGCTACTGACCGAAACCTCCAAGTAGGAGCAGGGGAAAGGAGTGGGAAGAAGAGCGGGAGGAGTAGTATGAGGTAACAATGACACAAAGAACAACGCAGACAACATAATACAAAAATATGCAGCTCTATATTACGTATACGTACTGGAATAGGCGTCCACATAGTTCAGCTGCAGCATCGCTGTCACCAACAGCATTAGGGTAAGGCGTGCCATGCCCATCTTCGATATAACTGTATGTGCTTGTCTGACTTCTATCAGATGCCGGGATGTCCTTCAATTGCTGGTCTGTGTTTATGTTGCTGCAAAGAGAGAGGAAAGTAATTGTTGTTGGCACAATTCAAAAACAACTTTTGAATTAAAAAAAAAAAAAAACAAAAGAGGGAGCAGAATGAGAACTCATGTGTGTAGGTGGCAGCTAAACCTATAGGCAAGCCAAGTTTATATATCAAATTGACAGCTGGGCTCAAGTTCATTGCGGTTATTTGCGTCACAACGCAACGTGCAGACGTGCAGACACAGTGGCGTCGCATTTGTATGACGCAGCCCACCCTTGACTCCCCTACTGCTCTTAGCACTACTCGACTTGCCGCATACACATGCCACGCCCACATACGACTGCCGCCTGCCTCTGATTCCGGTAAATGTGGCAACTGCGCTAACAGCCACATTTGTTCTTTTAACTGCCAAAACTGTCGCAAGACGACAACTCTCCACAGCAGCCTAGTCAATGGACCACGCCCATCTTGCCACAAATAATCAGTATGTACAAATACTGTTTGACTCAGATGCAACTGAAAAAGTCTCCAGATTTTTGTAAAACTTAACTTAACTTTTCTAATTGCCATTCAAATCTTCAAATTGTCCAAGCTCAAGTTAATTTGAAGAGAATTCAACGCTTAGCCGAAAATAAGAGCAACACCGGAAATCCTTGCCAACTCAAATGTGATCCCAAACTTCCACGCTCACCGCTCTCTAAAATTATACAACTGCGCCTTAGTCACACAGTTCTTATGGCGTGCCCACGCCTGAATTTTGAATTTTAATGCAATTCCCTTTAAAATCTAATTTCATTTTATACACTAAACTTTAATTTATGAAAATTTTGTGTTTCGCAAATTCATGATGGATGATCAAATATTTAACAAGTCACAATGTGTCCGGCTGACAAGAGCAAATTCATTAAAATTTCTGAGCTAACTCAAATAGACGAAATGTTAATATTTTGCCCTTTTTCAAGAACAAATGCATTGTGCAGCATAGTTTTGAGAGTTTCCTCTTCGATTTTGGCCAATTGTTTTTGGTATATAGCAAAAGAGGCGTGGGACAAATGGGGAAATGTGCAGAAAATGAAAATGAGAAGCGCATTGGTGGCTAAATGAAAATGCGCGCTTCATTTGTCCTGTAGAATTTCAGTCTGGGCCTGCAGAGTCACAACCATGACTGGCGCCAAAGACCTCAATTGCAACTGGAATGGAATGGAATGAAATGAAATGAAATGGAGGCATTGGACAGACCAAAAAATAAAAAATTAATTCGCAAAGAGAAGTCCAACTGACACTGAAATGTGTTTTGTATGTGTTTCGGTTCTTTGTTTTCCTCTCTTTTTTATGGCATGCGGCAAGAGCAGCGCACACACATCATTTGAGCTGGCTCTGATCAAGTTTTTGCCCCTGGCTCCCGGCTCTGTTGCACCCCCTCAACGCCCCATTATCCATCCGCTTTCGTCTGTGCTGGGCTACGTCCTGGACGGACGACACGACGGAAGCCAAAAGTGGAAATGCATGATAAATGACACAAGTTTTTGCTTACTTTATCCCAAACTCTCTCGCTCTGTAGCGCGGTGGCAGCGCAAGCGCAACAAAAGCAGCAAATTTTTATTTTAAAATACAACACAAAACTGGACGAACATTGTGAAACGATGACGTCGTAAATGTTTTGTTTCAACACACTGTGTGCGACTGTGTGTGTGGGTGTTCAGTCAAAGAATCACAAGTAAAACAAGAAGTCGCGACTGATCGACTAGGAAATACCCTGATTCCTGCGATCCTCCGGCAGTATTAGCTGTACAAAAGGAACTTACCTCTTAAATAACAAATCTACAGTATTTGAAGGGGAAGATTACAGCTATAGTGAATTCAGGAACAAAAACAGTAAATTATATGTTTCCATCGTTTGTGGTATTCGAGCTACACTTGAAGAACAAAGTCAAATTATCGATTTTTATCGATAAAGAAATGGGATGAGTTATCCGTGTACAAGATTGCTGCGGTCACACGGACGAGCAGACAGAAGACAGCTCGTCATCCTGATCAAGAATATATATACTTAATGGAGTCTGCCACATCTCCTTCTGTCATACAAACATACATTTTCATAAAAACATTATACCCCGAATACCCATTTTCAATGGGCCAGGGCATAAAAAGAAGCAAAGTAAACTGTCCGAGAAACGGAAGCTTCAACTAAAATAACTGCAAGGGCAACCAGAACATAGAACGACACACAACATAAAAAAACAGGCACACACAAAACACAGAAAGAAAGGCACAAGACACAGCACAGCAAACCAGCCAGCAAGAAGCAGGTAATGAGCTATCACGAAAAGAAAGAAGAGGAAAAGGAGAGACAGAGAGCGCTCAAACTGTGATCAGGCATGGTTTATGCCCTGATAAATTTAAAAGACTTAAATTGTTAAGTAAGCACGCGCTCTTCAAGTGCTCAGGGATACATTTAATCGAAAAAACAAACTGGAATCGATGCTGCACCCGATGTATACTATTTACTCGCTCAGTTGCCGACATCAACGGTTCGATTTATCTAGAATCATTTAATCGATGTAACGTAATCGATCTGAATAGCTCAAATGAAAGTAAGTTTGTATGATCGATCAAGATTTCGGTTAAGTCATTTTTGAATAAAATAGTCGGCTGACTTTGCTATGGAAGTTTATAGAGTTTCCTGCTTTAGCATTTGTCGACAGATATGGAAAAGTTAGGTGAATTAACTATACACCCTACATATAGCTGTTAAATATTATTTTTACTCAATGCATGTGCATTGCAGTCACATAGGACATGAGCTCATTGATTTGACCAAAGACTCATCTCGGAAGGAGATAAGGATTTCTATAGAAACTATCAGTGTTCTGTATTAGCTAATAAGTTGACCGTATGCACGAGTTATTTGACTTACCAATAGACTTTGATACAGTTAGTTAAGCAAATGTGCAAATGTGCAAATGTTTCTGAGAATCATCTACTTTAAGTGAATCGAAGCTTATCATTCACATTCCATGAGCTGTGAGTCGAATTGTAAAAGTGCGCATAGGCTGCTTCTAAATGGCGCAGAGTGCACATCAAACGCGGGACGCCGCGCGTTCCTTTTCGCGAGTCATAAACTGAATTCACACTTGGTTACTTCCTTCATGACTTTGGATATTATTGTGGTTTATGTTAGTGCCTGTCACTTGCCGTGTTCCCCGTGCTTCCACGGGCTTCCTTCGCCACTCTTGCTGCCCGTTGCTCGTTCCCCAAAGGAGGCACGCCCTGACGCTCACAGCGGCAGCCGCATGTTGTCTGCCTCTGTGTGATGTATGACTCCATGAAATGCGATATATTCATGTTAAATTATTTTTTGCAAAATGAAAGGAAGACCCAAAAAGAAACGAAATCGAAACGCGAAGCGAGACGAGACGAAAGCCGCTGATGACAATGGGAGCCCGAATCCGAATGTGGACGGACAGTCGATGGGCAGAAGTGCTAAGGGGTAAACGAGCAAACGGCTAAACGTTTGACCTTAAAGTTTGCTGATTAAAGCGCAAATGTTGCGCAGCGCCAAGTGGTGCCACAATGTGGCAGTTGTTGCTGTTGTTGCAATTGAGCAACAATTAAAAGTTTTAAATATTGTGACAGCATTTTTACAGTTAATTGCACAGCGAAAAGCGAAGCCCTGCGCTCTCCCCGCGAATGTTGCACGCAGCTGCCAACTTCATTTATAACTTGCAACATACCTCCTCCACTTCTCGGCAGCCACCCATGTAGGTGGACAAAAAATAAAGTTTGGCTTTCGTTTGTCCTGACGTAGCACGATTTAATTTTCTAGTTATATTTCAGAATTTTCCTCGCTAACTTGGGGGTTAGGCAGATTGAGGGTAGGTGAACGGAGCTGCGCCTCCAATTTCAGAATGGCAACTGGCGCAGCTGCAATGGTGCTGGCGGCTGCTCGCGAACTGACAACCATTTGTCATTACCGACAGGGTGAGTGGGGGCTGACACTTTTTTACAGGGTATTGGCAAACGCCATGTGCTTAAAGCGTTTAATTAGCAAATGTCGCCAGTGTGTATCGAGCTGGGGCTGATGGAGCATGCCCCGAATATGACCCTCCAATTCTGGCATATTAAATTCCTGGCTACAAACATGGGAATTTCAATTCGTGGCAAGTGCCTCGGGCACACAATTTAGCTGACTACAAAAAAAGAAATAAAATGCCAAAAAAATTCCGAAAAGCAAAATCTTTGTAAGGCAGTTAATTAAAAACTTGACTGTGCAGGGCAGCGGAGGGGCAACAGGGAGAGGGTACGGAGTATCATTGTATGTCACTGTGTGTGTGTGTGTGAGAGAGTGTGTATGACAAAAGACAGCTCCAAATCCCAAAACAAAGAGCAAACGAAACAGTTAGTAAAAGAGAAGCCATAATTGAAACTTCAGTTGGTTGAACTGAACAAAACTCAAAGTCAGTACATTCAATAAATGAATTTCCAACAAGCAATTAAATCACAAAACGCTACTGTCACAATCAAATAAAATTCCTTATCTAGCAGCTATGCGAAATATACGAACTAGTCAAATAAAATTGACTATTAAAATGCTAGAGGGTAAATGAATGATGAGAGAGAAAGAGAGCGTTCTATATTAATAATAATACAGATGCCCGATTATGGTGAGAGCAAATAATTTGATCAGCAACTTTCTTTGAGCTTCACAAATTGCGCTAGAGCTAACTCTCCTCCTTCTGCATCGATTACACGTCGAGGGACTTATTCGCTATTCATAGTATTTGAAGTAAAAGGCAACAGCGGTTATAATATAATGGCATTCTGCTTAGCAATTAAGCTTTATTCAAATTATCATTTCATAAATCTCCTTAGAGCAATCTAAAACTAACGGAAGCGATCGCTTTCGACGCGTTACACAGGAGTTTTAAAAAGTTTCAAGAAGTTAATACTCATTTCAGATAAGATTGAATTCAATGGTTTTATTTATAGTCCACGTAGAAACTTACGGACCGGAGCCCTAAATC